TGATATAAAAATTGTAACTTCCCCTCGTGTACTGCTCCACTGTCCAGAGAGCGTCGAGTTTTGCCGAGCCCAGCATTATGTCAAGGGTGCTCGCCTTTGTGTACCGTCGGCATAATGTAGCCGAACCGTCGTTCAGAGCTCGAAGATTGAACGCTGTTGCTGTTGACTCTACCTGCCATTCTCTTGCATCCGTGCGAGTGCCCCCTTATATTTTATTGGAGTATTAAAGTCTCCACAGATAAACTAAGTTACCTTGGCTTCTTTTACAAATTTCTTTAATCGGTTTGGTGTCCCAGAGGCATTGTGGCGAGGTCTACGCCGAAGCAGTTGTCGTTTCATTCGTTCCAATTTTGATCGTCACTCCAACATACCCTTCAAATGGAGTACATAGGTCCGAAAGGCCAAGCTCACAGTGAAGTATTTCAGCTCGCTCAAGTACAGACACTGGTCATCTTCTATTGAGATTTATAGTTGATCTATGATATAAAACATGAAGTGATAAGCGTGTCTCTCCGGGTAAGACATTAGATTCCTGAAGAGACAGAACATCATCTTTGTTGTTGGTGAGCGTTCGCCGCAGTTATGCAAGTCGTGTGCGCAGTCCGTTGGCGCGCTGTTGCCGAAGTTGACTATGCCTGTGGCGCGCTGTGCCGAAGTGTTGGAATACACTTGAAGTTCTACACTTCGGGGCGTCTTTTCGTTTTAACGATGCTCCTATATGTTCAGTGGTCCTACTAACAACCTCCTAAAATGGGAAGAATTGTCTGCATGATAGATGAAAGGGAACCGGCCCAGGAAGCTTCAATTTTGGTCCAAATTGCAAGTGCAATGTTAGCACAAGTCCTTATGATTGATATCCATCCAGGAGCTTTTTTTTCAGGGTCACTGTTTCGCTAGCGGTATATTCTTTTACAACTTGGTATTTCTTGGCAAAGGGGCGTTTTGAAATTTTTTACGTCGAATGATGGCTGATGTATAGATTTTTCTGACGAAGCTTGCGTCAAGATCTGACTTGTTATGTGATTTGCGTCAATCTTTTCTTCAACATTTTGGTAAGTTATTTTGAGCGCCGAAACATAAGCGTCGTTAGCAGTTTCGTCTGGCTTTGGCTCTGATCTTCTTCTGGTACCCTCGGTGATTTCCCTGGTCGTCTTTTGACGGGAGATGGCGGACCTTGCTTCACAAAACCCTACTTTATTCATTCGTGAAGATGTAGCTACAGATTCTCTTCCTTCAAGTTTTGACATATATTTGATGTAGCCTCATGATTGCCGCTGCATTTAATGCATTTCACTTAGCTGGACGTGCATCCCTCGGCTGTCAGAACCTGGTTCTGAGCACATCGATTGCATGCTTGGATTTTTTTGCAGTCGATCGTTTTGTGTCCGATACATCTACAGTTGAAGCATTGTATGGGCTTCTCTTTGAATTGGACCACAGAGTGTCGCAGGTATCCTTGTATGGCATAGCCTAGAAGGTGCTGCTGCTGAAGACGACTTTGACGACTGGGGGTTTTCCAAGTCGTCACACATTGACAAAGTTTGCTTCTAATCGTGGGTATTGTGTCAGTTCTTCATCGGTGACATCCTCATCAACGTCATGAGTTACTCCGATGCCCGTTTCCCCTGACAACGAAAAGTGTAGTCAAACATGGATTCCGCAGAGTGATTTATTGTTCATCAGGACTTATGCTGCATGACCATTTCGGACGTCAACTGCAATAATGTTGAGTCGTTGATTGTAGCGAACTTGAAGAATGCATTCCGGACTTATCTTTTCAAGAGGCTGTGTGAAATTGAGACTGCTGAGGAAAGTCAGTTCCTTCTCTGAGTCGGTCGGGGCACATACGACGGTGAGACTGTTGGAGACGTTGTGTGACACACACGCTGTGCCAGAATTGGGGTATGAGTCATCTCTTCGGACTCGTTCCCGATTTCCAGAGATGTACCATGGTCCTCCAAAGTCATTGTCCTGGTCCATGTGGGAATGTTTCCAGTAAAAAAAAAATTTAGGTGAGGCGTTTGGAGCGGCAGCAGGGCTGTCTTCTGTGGGGTTTGCCGTTAGGCACAAGCCTGTAGGTCTCAAGTTTCGAGCAGTGCTCCAGGCCAACAAAATATAATATTTGTGGCTCCCGTTTCGAACATGCGTAATGAATCCTCCCCACAATATTTGTTCACAGCCCGTCCCGTTATAACTGCCAGCGTAGCAGAGTCTACAAGAGGAAGCTCCGAGCTTTTAGTGTCCCTGTAGCCGCCTCGGTGGCTCCGAGGCGAGGATGCTGGCCTACGGATCTCCATCTGGCGGGTTCGAATCCCAGCCGAGGTGCCCGCAATCTGACGGAGGCTTATTTCAGAGGAGGCGCCGTGTAACCGAGCTTTCGGTTGCACGTTTAAAGATCCCCAGGTGGTCCAAATTAATCCTCAGTCCTCCGCTGGGGCGTGCCAGATGCCCGTCGTTGGTTTGGCACGTAAAACCCCCAAATTTGACTTTTAGTGTCCCTGCTGAGCACTCACGCTCGTGCAGTGCGCGCATCGTTCAGAGGAACATGCTTTTGCACGTAGTTTCTGCTTCGCTATAACGTAAAGTGAAAAATACGTTCTCACAGAGGCTTTGACAAAAAGTAATACTAATAATGAAGCTGAAAGTAATGTTTGATGAGATGCTGAGGCCGCAAGGTCCATAATTATTTTAATTTTTTTTTTAATTTTTGACACGTTTTAATATTGCGCGTCTACAGATGCTGACAGATGCTTGTATTTGAACGTGACACGTGCATAATTGGACGTTACAGCGGCGCACTTAGGTTCATATCGCCTAAATGGTGCAGCCAGCATAACATGGTCGCGTCTTGCAGACGCGCTAACGCCCCCTGCCCTAGAGCAACGGGTATATTGCCAAAGGTAATGTCAGAGAATGAATCATCCCAATGCTCGCTGCTCTCTCGGATGAAGACCTAGCTCCTTACATTCAGAGGCGTTTGGTGGTAGAAGACAACCATAATTCCACTTGCCGATACAAAACTTCCAGGTCAGGATATGCGTACGTATGTTTAAAACCTAGGGAAAAAAAAAACAAGAGAGCGAATGGTAGACTCCCTTGCTCAAAGCACTTCATTGTCATTTTCTCAAAGATGTGTCGCCATGCTTGCCATTCCGGAAGCACGTTTGCGCAACGTGCGATAGATGACGCGCAAGTCTGAAAAATGTCTAATGAATCCAAATGCTCGCCAGCGCAATGGGGCAAAAGATTATATTTGTTTTTCAACATCCCTGTGACGTAAAGGAGTGTGCGCATTCATTTTGACTTCACTGTTTTCTTTTTGTTCTTTTTTTTTTGCTAACGCCGCGCGAGAGTCATGTAATGGGGATTTTGTATCAAACCCATATGGTTCAACAAAGCGGCATTTGGTGTCAGCTTTGATGCAGTGGTACATTGGCGTCATGCCGTGAGCCTGCCTGCTGTTTCATCGCGCTCACCAGGTTTCTATTTTTACGAGCGGCAAATAAGCGTGACTCACGCGCGAACAAGGGAGGGCCGCAGTTCGTGTTGAAGTACTTACGGAAGCTTCTGGGTGAGTAGGTGAGGCTCTGATTTGATTACACGTAGCAACCTTTTCGTGATTTAATAAATATAAGACCCGCGAAAATTAACCTAAATGTTTACTATTTCTGAAATAGTTAAAATGTGCCTAAGGTGTTTATATCTTGCGCGCACGCTGTGGTAACACTGCTATTGCTCAGTCTTCGCGAGAGCCGCCTCTGACTAAATTCCTTTTCCCGCGAGGGGACTGAAGGAGCTCTGAATAGACTACCCAAATAATTTCTCACCGTCGAGTCCACTAGTCATTTTTGTAGATGCACGACACTCAAGGTGAGGACAGCACATAGTGATGTGTATATATTTTCTTATTTTTCACAGATATGTGGAGTTCCTAAGTTGCAAACTTTGAGGAATATTCTTATTGTTGAAGGCACACAGACGCGACCGAGTAAACGCGAGTCCAGGAGAAAGCCTCACGGGATAAGCTCACTCGTATAAAAAAAACTACGAGAAATTTCATATTTAACTCACTTTTATGAAAGGCGTTCGCTGTCATTCTAGAGCAGTAGTTCAATAAAGCCACATGTGCGCCCCACACGGGCGGCACAGATTTAAAACCAGGCCGCTTTGCTGCAGCCCTCATTCCGCTGTCTTGGGAACTGTTTTCGCGTGACACTCGGCATATTTAATTCTGACGTAAACAGGATCAAGCGCTTGAAGCGCGTCATCCTTGCTATATCGATAAAGAGGAGCATCTACTGCAATCAAAACCTGTCACCGGTTATAGGCATCACTTCAAATGGTTTTGAACCACAAATATTTTGAGCTTGGGGCTAAACAATGCTACCTGTAAGTACAGGGTGTCACAAAAAAAATTACACGATTTTTTTCCGCAAAAATAAACTAGGCATCGCCGAACGCTCATTCTCCGCCCAAAGGTTGCGCTAGACGTCACAACCAGATGCCAAAGTTTCAGCCCGATCCGATACCTTATTCAAAAGTTACGTGATTTTCTGAAAATTTCAATGGGAAAATGGCGGCCGAAGGAGTTTTCGAATACATGGGGCCCTATGGCACCAGAAACCGAAAACGAGTAAAATGGGCTCCATTTTCACATTGAACTTTTCAGAAAATCACACAACTTTTGAATAAAGTATCGATCGGGCTGAAACTTTGGCATCTGGTTGTGACTTCTAGCGCTACCTTTGGGCGGAGAATGAGCGTTCGGCGAGGCCTAGTTTACTTTTGCGGAAAAAAAAAAAAAAAACGTGTAATTTGTTTTCGTGACACGCTGTAGAGTGTGTTTTCGCGTAAGATTAAATTTAAACACAAGGGGGAAAAGTGGATTAAGTAAGAGTTAACTTACCTGGAGCAGCGAGGGAGAGATTGCGATATACTGGTTATACCTCGTCCTAGCACTCCGATAATGTGTGCACATCAATAATCTTTTTCCACAGATTATGAAGGAGAGGGACCGTCCGTTCTACCAAATCGTCGACGGCCACCGCCTGCCTGGTATCTTCCGGGAAGACGTTTACCGTAGCGGCCTGCTCTACAAGCCAGTAGAAGGCGACGTCGTTTTGGACACCTTTCCCAAGTCCGGAAGTCACTGGGTGTTAAAAATTTTGAAGGAATCTTACCGGCTCTGCAAGGGCATTACCCCAGGATCGACTTTTCTGGAGATGTTTGGTTTGGAAGGTGTTCTGAGAGCAGATCGTCCAAGGATTGTTTGCACACATTTGCCTCTGACTCTTTTACCGTTCGTACCGTCTGTTAAATATATCTACTTAGCAAGAAATCCGAAGGACTGTTGCGTGTCTTTCTACAACCACACAAAGATCATACCAGAGTACGGTTTCCAGGATGGCACATTCGACGAGTATTTTGAAATCTTCCTGGATGGCCTTACGGATTTCGGAAACTATTACGATAGCATTCGATCGTGGTATGCTAAGAGAGACGAACCGAATGTGCTATTCTTGACATATGAGTCACTACACGCTGACATCCGGGGATCGGTGATTAAGCTAGCAGACTTTGTGGACCAAGCTTTGGCTGATGAGCTTTCACACGATGACAACAAGATGCAAACTGTCCTGGAAGAAATTAACATAAACAACATGAAAAAGAATTTGCCGCTCCAGTTCGTTAGGAAAGGCGTCGTGGGAGAGTGGAAGCACTACTTCTCAGAAGAACAGTCCCGGAAGTTGGAGTCCAGGTTTTTTCTTGAAATGGAGGAGACGACAGTCCCTGAGATATGGGAGAGTGTCGACTGGCTGCTTGCTTCAGCTAAGCAAAATATACTTGCTGAAGTTTTACTGAACAAGCTGTCGTAATTTCCTGATCAACAAATAGCAGACTAAATGTGGTACATGCGAAGTTTTTTTTGTTTTTGTTCTTTTTCCTATATTTCTAACAAGAAAAATGCGACTTTACCTGTTTTGTTGCCTGCGAAAAGTAACCATCTTTTAGCAAACTTTTAGAAGATACGTTATTCGGACACTCGGAATTTAACCTGCATTGTCGAGTTACCGTACGTACTTTTTTCTGGTTTGTATTTGTTTCTAAAATACTGTTTTTCATGTGAATAACTTACTGACTATGAAATATAAATTTTCCACACATTTGCTTACTAAGCCAAGGTATAAGTTTTATCACTAAAACTGAATTCTTTCGCGCATGTATGCATTTTTACAAATGTTAAATAAATTTTGAATGTATTTGTTGCTACTGACACTTTGAATCGTTATTCTATACAAAGTTTATGCTGCCAAGGGTGGACACGGCTGCTGGGTAGTGCAACCCAGGGGTTTAAACATGAATCTCATTCTTGGAGAGTCTTCAATTTTTGTGTGTGGGTTCTCCGGTAAAGGGGAGTCATGTATCACAAAGTTGTGTATTTTGACTAGAGAATTCTGGAGGAGTGTTGGACTGAGATTAAGGGGGTTTTGGGGGGTTCTGTGAACATTACTGGTCCCACCTGCATTTTACACTTACACGAACTGGAAAGTCCTTTACCTTTCGAAGTTCGCATTATTTTTTATTTTTTTTTACGAATAAGGTATTAACAATTCTATCACTTTAATTGCATCGTACTTTGAGACTGAAGGACGTTTTCAGATAAGATCGAACAACCATGTCCGGTGACCATTTTTAATTTTAATGGAAAAAATCTATTTTGCTGGCTCCATGCCGAGACGAATAAAACCAATCCTTGTTTTCAAAAAAAAATTGTCTTTGCGAAAAACGTTGTAAGCATCCTCTCAGTCATGTTTGCGTTTTTCGTATCGCGCGATGTTGACATTTCGGGCGGCTTCTCCAAAAAAACTATTCTGGCTACGCGTCTAGAAATATTTAGGGAAAAATTGGGCACAAGAAAAATTGACAAAAAGTATTAATCGCAGAGTATTATGGTTTTTATTTTGAGAAAACAAATCGCAAACACGGCACATTGCGCAATAACGCTCTGGATTAAAGATTTCTTTATCCGTATCTATAAAAGCTCAGGTATTCAAACTTCGCCAGTGTGTTGCCCTCTATATGTTGCATCTCTGTATGAAATATTGTTGTCCTGGTTAGCGGGTGAAATTTACAAGATTAGCTCACACAGGGGCATTTAACTAAATATGCATTATTTTGAAAAACATTTAAAAAAATGCCATCTTTAATATTCTTTAAACTCGCTGAAATTAACGTTTATAATATGTACTAACAGAGTCAGCAAAAACATAATGCAACATTTGTGTGGCTTTTAAGTTATTAAGCGTGAAATATTGCCAAATCGACTTTAACGCGCTTACCATATATGGGGCGTGCACATACCCGTTCGTCACAATTTGATTATTATTAAAAAGCGTAAAAATGCTACGGGGTGGTCAGGAAAAGACAAATCGACAGCACAGAGGTGGACGGTAGTTTTGAAATTAAAATGTCTCATACATTTTGTACAACCGGCACAGAAATGCCCATAGGCAGGAGTGATCGATGTGCGCCACCTTGTAACTTGCTTCGCGGAACCTGTTTCGGCAGCCGGCGTATAGCGTCTCCGTCTACGCGACGTGAAGGAAGCAAACGGAGCGACTTTGCAAACTTATCATCCTACAACCTTGGCGGTAACATGATATAGGAGGTAGGGCGCGGCAGAGCCTGAACCTGCGCCGACTTCGAGCGCCAATAGATCCGCCGCCGTGGAGGGTCGCACAATGTGTAGAAAATAAATATATTAAAAAATTGCGATTGAATGAGCTTGTCTGTAACTTAATTTATATGACAAAGGTTTGGAGAATCGTGAAATCCAATTTGTGTATGCTCATGTTACCTACGTCAGTGATGGTACAGCAAGCCACTTTAATAAAAAGTACCAACTACACCAGCTGCAAGCAACAAGTACACGTCAGCGAAGTGTATGTTATCAGCAACTGGTCATGGCAAAAGTGCTTGTGATAGAATCGGGGTCGTGTCAAGCACCAGGCAACGTTGTACAACCTCTGATGGCTCACCACGTCGGTGATCAAGTCGGCTTCAGAGATGGTAGCACCTATGAACACTAAACTGCCGAACGTGAAGCAAATCCACCTCCCGAAAGCTGACGTCCACGCGTTCAGGGACGTGAAAGTGAAGAAATGGGAATCTGTTTCAGCTGTGCGTGGAAATCAGTCCTGTCACTTGTGGCAGTGTGCGCGGTCCGACACTTCACAACCACAGCTGTTTTAGCAGGAAAGCAGACGCAGAAAATATATATATTTGAAAGTAAAGTCTCCTATGGTTGCACAAAGCAGACCGAGGTCGCGAGCTTGCGGTGCAACTGAGAAGAAACGAGCAGTGATCGCTACAGGCGAAACGTGAAAAGAATGTTCCTCCTCGGAGTGCCTGGAGAGCGCCGTGACCGACTCAGGTCAGCGTCTGGCAGAAAGAATGCACGCGACAAGCGCCGAATGCGCGCACAGGATCTTAATTTATTAAAGTCGTTTTAATTGTACCACCTTAAACATGTGATCATTCTTAACACTATTTAAACCTGGTCGTCAGCAGCCCAGCCTTCCTACGAAGGGTAGGCTCCGAAAGTCATTGATCCGAGAAATCTGTACTTAAAATGTTGACTTGAGCTTCCAACTCACCTGTAATCTTTTGTACGAATTCTTATTTTTGACGAACTCCAGTCACAGTGCATTGTTTTCACAGACTTCCTACATTTCCCAACCCCTTTCTTTCCCTTGTTTAGAATGGGCAACGTCCTTTTTTTCTCTACTCACATTACGGCAAATCTGTATATTCAGCGCTCTGTAAGATAAAAGTAAATAAAAAAACGTTGCAAAGCATTTTTGGAGGGCCTCATGGAACAGATTATGAGCCTGGATTTGTAAAATGTAGAAGAAAAATTAAGATGGCCTTAATATTAAACTAATTTTTCAATTATTGCAAAATCGGTAACCTTTCTACATTTCTGTTTTTTTTTTTTAAGGTTATTGTTTTCAATTTTAAGGAAAATTGGGGCGGATATAGAGCAAACGCGTCCAGATCTTGTTTCAAAATTTGAATTTCCTGTCTTTTAATATCCGGAATCATGAAGTTCTGAATTGCTTCGTAATCGAAAATGCATGTTTACCTCCTTTTATTTCATGTACAGCCTCTGCAGAAAAAATATTAAACCAAAGGCGTCAACAGTTTTTTTTAATAAATATCCAGAAGGACGGTTTCACGCAAGTCGGAAAAACGTGCGCGTATACAGTCAGTGACTTTGTTATTCTTGTTTCTCCAGAGAAATTTTCTTTTCCACAAAAATGTTTCAATATGTTTTTGCGCTTGCACAACAAATAACATATATTTTGGTAAAAAAAAATTCGACCGGGCATGGTTGTTTGATTCACCGGCATCCGAGTGCAAATAAACATTGTCGTTATTATAATTACGCGATTTTACGGCGCTTTTAGTGACGTTCTGATACACTAAGGTCTGAGTAGATTTGGAGCTGCGTAGTAGCTGTGCCGATCGAACATTTCGGCTAGCATAAGCTTCCTGCACAATGTGAACTTTCTACTCGTTAATACTCTGTGTGACGAGAGGTACAGAAAGAGCGAAATAGAATTTGACTATTTTTAGAGGTTCACAAAAATGGAAATGATACTGCACCTTTTTTAGCAGTGTGCAGTGACCTATGACCATTTTTCATGCTCACTCAGGAAAATCTGCCGAAGCGCTTCACACAATCGTTCACTGCACTAGTGGATCACTACTTGGGGTATATCAAGCGCTTGTTCAGGGTGACTCTGAATTACGCTCAAAAGCTATGTAACCATAAATTGGGTCGAAAGTACCGATCACTAAGGAGCTGAAGGGACACCGTTCCCATGATTCCTCTAGCACGGGCCAGGGCGCTTGGGGGATATTGCGAATGGTCTATTGTGTTTATTAAAGTTCAGAATCTGGTTAATATTTTGTTTCGTGTCTTGCGAGGTTTGCCATATAAATGTTAACTTGTCTCAAAATTTTACATGAGGTTGACATGGACTCCGAGCTTTCGCAGGTTGCTTCGTGCAACCTGTTTGTTCACGCCAGGCTGGTCCCACTGCCAGGAAACTTCCCCAGCAGGACTACAGAAATAATACATGTACATCTTCCTGGCGAAGTCTGCATCATCACCAAAGTTCCGTGCACGTGTGGCCTCCAGCGGAAACACCAATTCCCTCGCTGAGTCTGGGATCTCGCGGCGCCACCCTCCTGCCGTGGGGTTTCCCATGTTGTCGTCCTGATCAGCATAGGCTGCTGGGTGTTCGTTGTGTACCAAGAGAAAGTTGTGCAGGACACAGCAGGACTTGATGACGTAATCGACGTGCTCTGGTAGGAGGTTTATTGCCCGGAGGAGAATTCTCCACCGGGCGGACATGATCTCAAAGGCATTCTCAGCACATCTCCTGTTTGGCAAAAGTTATTAAAGTTATTAGTGCACACAGTAGCACTGGAATAAAAGAAATAGTGAAACACTGACAGATGTTCTAGACATGGAAACTGCGTGCACTTCTAAGCAATTTATGAAACAGACTTGGGACTAAAAATTGCGTATGATGAAACCTGAGTGTAAATCGATTCAGAAAGTCATTGCAAGGTTTATGTAATTATGACAAGATCCTACGACAGTTTCTTAATTGTGTTGAGCACTTCACAAGAGGCAGTTATAAAAGTAATACGATTGGGGGCAAAAAGAAAAAAAAGATGGCAAAATTTCTCTTGCAAGGCAGGTGCACCTTTTCTGTAGTCGCGAGGTTAAGAAAGTTCCTCCTCGTAGTAGACTACACTGCTGTTAGAGCACTAAACTCAAGATAGTGAAATTAGAGGAGGA